TTAGCATCTAATAGTCAAATAGCTCTAGAGTATCTATATCATACAACTTCGGGATCGGGTGGCGGCCAGACTGTACTCCTATTGGATTTGTAAATATAGGTGCGGAAGCCCTTCTGGAGAAGTGTGTAGACTTCGTATCCACATATGATGTGCAGCTCGTCTAGCTTTTTGATAACAGTGGCACGTCTCTTCAAGCTCCTGACTCTCTCGCGCTTGGCAGCTTTTGCGGTCAATTGTGTCTTGGCACTGGGATTATTAATTGGAACAGGTGGAGCCATGGCTGGCAATGTAGGTGAAGAGGATCAGAATGAACCTCACCAGCTCGCTCAGGAATGAGAGCAGCGGCTTCTTAAATAGAGCCATAAGCGAAATATTGTATCTGCGGTATCCAGGACCTTGGTTGGCTATTTGAGCTTTTGTTTTTAAAAGGGAGGACGTTTGTGGCCCCGCTACAGGCTGAGAGCCAGCCTGCTGGCTGGAGGCCTGAATCCGGGCTCCAGGGGTTTCCCAAAGTATATGATGCACTGCATATGGCAAAAGAGACCGTCAAGGCCTCAAGGACCGCATAGATGGATAGGCTGCCCTTTCAAACCTTGGCGATCATAGGCGCCCTACTGCAACGAGAGTCCCTGTGCAATCTTCGCATCATGTCTCGAAATATAGCTGTAGACACCACTCCTATCATTGGAAGTCACCTTGCGGTCCTGAACGTCGGCCGCTGCTTAGAGAAATTCAACTCTTGTATGCTTTTGAATAGGACTCTGGCGAAGTGCACCCGACATTTGACAATTTATCATGCGACATGGCCAATCTGCACGCGCCGGAAGTGGGAACTTCACCCGCTTTTGCTGGGCGGGAATGAACGATTTGGCATTACGGAAGCATAGCTGCCAATCATGCCGTTCAGGACTACAGGCAGTTCATTTTCGAGGAATCTAATCGCGAACCAACCGACCTCGTGAAAATTTTCCAGATGCTACCCTCTCTGACGCACATAACGATCGATCATATTAGGAAGCGACGTCGCAATAGACTCCCATGCTTTGACCGCCTTAGGCGGACGATCTGGCTCGAACCTAAAATCCGCGACTTCATTGGGGTCACTGATAAGAATACGCTGCAAAGATTCAGCTGCGTGACTGTGTTGACTATTAAAGGCCCATTCACTCCCGACGAAGCCTTTTGCGGTCGGCCTCCCACGTTAGAGTGAACAAGCTTGAGATTTGAAAGTCTGCGACAACGGTAGTCTGAAAAATTTGATTTTAGGCTTTCAAAACCTGCGACAAATCGCACTGAGAACAGACCGGCGTGAGACACTTCCTCTTGGTGAGATCACTTGTGATCGACTGGAGGAACTGGAGCTTAGCGGTTGGTGCATGGCAGAGAGTTCTCTCGCTCAATTGATCAATCGACACAGGTTTCTCTTTTCCTTGGCTATTTCTGGCGTTACTCTGACGGGTGGGACCTGGGAGAAGGTCTTGGCCGAAGCGCACGCGGCCAAGGTAAGTGTAACGTTCTCGTTCGGCCAGGATCCCGGATTTGGGACTGGTGCCATGGTACTTCCGGCCTCCGGTTCCTCGGCCAGAGAGCTATTGGTCATGAATATAAGGACGTGATTTTCTTTTTCATTAAAAGCTTCATTGACAGAGTATTAGCCTTTCTTTCGCAGCTGGCCTGCCAACTACAGTTATGTTCTCTCACGTCGGAGACATCTCACGCTTTGGCTACCATACCACACAGGAGACTCAGGCGGAGTTGACGCCAATTTCTGCCCAGGAAGCCCAATCAATTCAGAACTTGATTGGGAACAGTGACCAAGATACCGATGCTGCCTGCTTTGAACACCTCGAAGTCGGCATCGAAAACTATTTTGAGGTCCGAAGCCACATCTTAGCTATTCTCCTGGTCTGGGACGCTATGATTGACGAGAAAAACTGCTACGACACCCACGGTCCAGCAAAGAGGAGCTACGCCTTCATGAAAGCATCTCTCATCACTATGGAAACGATCCCGGAGAGAGTGTGCATCGGTTCTCTCGATCCGAAACCTACCGCCTGCCACCTGCCGACTATCCCCACGACGATGAGTCTGAGTAAAGCCAGCTTGTGAGAAATGAATCTGTTGAAGTACCTCCCAGCCCTTCGATAACCAACTTCGATGATGGGACTGATGTGTTTGACGAAGATTACGACATATCCGATGCTTCGTCTTTCGCGAGCCTGCCCTCCCAGCTCAAAGAAGTACAGCCATCGAGCTCACATTTCGCCCAGTTCGAGTTTCCTCCAGCAAGAGGAACTATTGAGGTCAAAGGACGTCGTCCGTGATCCGCAGGAGCTCGGCCAGGCCAGTGTGCCTGTCGAACAGATAGGACGGAAGCGGAAGCATTTTGAGGCTTGTGATGATGAAGACGAAAGCGATAAAACACCAGCGAGGGTTAAGAGGAGATTCACGTAGCAGGCCTGGGCTGCAAAGGCATTCTCACAATCTTGACCCTAGACTTTTGCACACTGAAGCGCGGTGATAGAGTTTAACAACCGTCCAATCTTTTCGAGCTGGAAAGGCTTGAGTCTGCTCGGCTCAAGCGTCATAGTCGTTACCTTAAATAGTTTTTTGAGTCGCGGTCATAGGTTTCTTTCGCTTTCTATACACTTAATGTCGTTTTCGAGATTATAAGTCTATCTAGATGAAAATATTCTGTCATTACCAACTACATGATAAGATCACGATTGTATTCACGTGTTTATTGTAATGGACACTGTATACCTACAAATTCCACACCGCTGACGCATTGGGAAAACCAAAGGAAATCCTCGGACGACTGCCTATCGTGTTGGAACCGTATTCCCTATTCGTGCGCATGCCGCAAGTTGAATGCACATCGCATCGTGTCAAGTGGCTACCGCGCTCGTGTAAGCGGGTCTCTCTGTGGGGGCGTCAACGACTTCATGAGCCCCATCAGATGAGCCTTCACCTCCTCGCTCCTGCAGTTGAGGAGCTCGCCAGCACCATCTTGCTCGAGTCCCTCAAGTACAGAAGCATGCGTGCAGTACACGAAGCTATTGATGGCTTTGACGAAATCTTGGTGTAATTCCTTGCACTGCCGATCTTTATCGGGCCATTCCGGAGTTTCGGCATGAGTATTAGCGCAGTGGACATTCTTGTGATACTCAACAAGTGATTCGATACTATCTGATGTGAGCTTAAATGCAACTGTGTTGCTCAGTTCTATATCCACGTTGATGATGTGTGCCTCGACATGAATAAGCCTGTCATTGAGAAAGGCCTCGATGAGAGGATTTGAGTCCTTCACAAGCTTGGTCGCTGGGACTTTTGCCAGCATCAGAGAGGTCAAGCTCCAAATAGCGTTTGTGTTCGCCAAGGTCTCCGTGAGGCATCTCTGGTGCTGTAGGGCGCTGTCGCGAGGATGCTTGCTGCAGTTGATCCTCTCGAGTGTTTTGGTGAGCCATTGCGGCGGTTCCGATCCGAGCACGACATTGACGGTGGATGTCTTGGAATTAGAGGTCATTGCAAAAGTTAAATTTGGTTGAGAGATGCTGTACTGTAGAATGAGGCGATGGTACATAAAAGAGAAGACTGTAGGATAAGTGCGACGTGATCATTCGGGGGGGTGAGGGTGGGATACAGAGTGAAAAGTCGACCTCAAACGATTTCTGGCTGCGAACGGCTGTGTACGGGGTGCCCGGTGCCTTTATAATTGCACCAGCATAGAAACTAACACACCAATAACAAATTGCAACACTCGACCGTTCGAAGCATTAATATGGGCGGATGTACAATACGGTACAACACAGTATCGGCCGTTTCGCGGTACTTGCATTGGCAGGAACACTGCTGATTTGACGAGATGACTACCGTTTGGCGCCATGTGTAATTCAATTGGATGGTGGCGATTGGTCCGTTTTGGCGAGCCAATTGAAATCGGAACACAACAAAAAGGGTTGAACTCAACGGCCAACCAATTGTCTTTCAGCCAGAGGCCACTTTCGGCATTCATCTTGCTTGTCTGCGCATTAGTTGGGAAGGCGCCCTTGCAAGGTATGTAGTCATAGTTAAGATGCCGCCGGCTGGAAGGTGTAGGCCATTTAGATGGAATATATTCAACATCCGTGGGCATGAGCATCCGAGAATCGGCTACGAACCACTCCACCTTCAATCGACTCGGCAAAATTTTGGGAATATTTGAGCCAGTCAGGAGAGGCGTTGACAGATCCATGACGCTGTCTTCTGACAACGAAAAGAGATCCGCATGGGGTTGCTTTGACCGCTACCGTTACTGCATCCTTCAAGGTTCCAGTCCGTTTAGAACAATACATCCTACTGGAGGCTGAGGAAACGTATAAATGACGGAGGATAAGTAAAAGCCAGCATCAAGACTGTTCCTGATCCAGACGAGCAGGAGGAGTCTGTGCTACTGGCCGAAGCTCCTGCGCTCCATATTCCTCCCATAAACGCTGACGTTACTCTTTCTTGCCTTGGTATAGCGGACTCTCGCATAGACAATGGATCAGGCCTTGTTTTAAATGACCACTTCACCAGGCAGTCGGATTCATCGCAAACCAGTGTGATAATGATGAGCTCGAAGAACTCTTGTCGAGGCGACGCGAGAGAAGTCTCTTACATCAGGGCCCGATTTGCATCAGAGGGAGGGAACCCCGTTTTCTAGTAATCCTGAACAAACAAGGAGCAGCCGTTCAGCTTCATCGTACTAACCTTAGTCTCTTGCCCCAGGCAAACAGCAGGTCATGGTGTAAGCCTTGCCTCCAGCCACTATTTATCGAAATTTCCATGAGCCTGTGAGAATTTCGACATAATGACGACATTCGACGGCGGTGTCAAGAGCAACAAGTGCCTGCCAGGACTTGATTAACATATTGTGCCCATTTCAACTCTCAACGGTGGTTGGGACCAAGGACCTGGAGGACCTGCGAATTCTGAGAATGAGACGTGGGGAATCAGAGCAGCGGATGTTCGCACGTGCAAACCGTGCCTAGAATTCGGCAGAGAAGGAGATACACACCGTGCCTGAGTTCTTTCGGATAAGCCTACATGAATGCTATCTCCCAGGCCCGAGATACAGGTCTAACATGGACATCGCGCTGTCCGAGCTATGAATATGTGACTAGTCTCAAAACCGTCGATGAGTCTATAATCGTCAAAGGCATGATGTATTTCCCTTGCCAAATATGTTCAAGACGGCAATGGCTTGTTTTGTATCAATGTTTCAGATTTCCCGTGCTGATATAAGGTACTCCAGTAGATGAAGCATCTGCTTCTAAGATATGGTGGAAAAACTATCTTGGTATGTTCATCTCCGAAGAATATCTGTTATCAATCACATATAGAAGTCCTTAGTTGTGCCTATAAATTCTGCCCACCCGACACCCATTAGAACATGGCCGCACACGCCGCTCGCCCGGCCTCAAGCATCAAGGTGGACTCATTGGCTTTGACGACTGTTGGGCCAGGGGACATGCCCGCTGAAGGACTGGCGCCCTTCTGGGTGGACTGATTTCCAGGGTCACTCTCAGTATCAGAAGTCGTCCTGGCCTCGGATGCGGGAATGTATGAAGCTGGCGAGCTCGCTCCATGAGATACTGTGCTACACTTCCATCGTGATTTATTCCTCAGATGAGTGCATCCGAAATCCATTTGAACAGAAGGCCCATTTCAGGGCCTACGAGCCAGAATGAGGATCGGCTACGCCTGAATTCGGCCCACGATGGGTTATACATAAGCCCCGTCTCATGAATATACGGCCTTACATGGACTGTTACGTTTATTATTGCTGGATCGGATAATTTCCAGACACCTTTAGCACTACCGCGTTCACATGTTCTTGTGCCTGTGTATTTGTGGGCTCTGGCCGATCAAAGCCGGAGCCGAACAGATCAGATCGGATGAGGAA